AAACGTCTTGATACTCCTGATATTGACTTGGAATGCTAATTGAAGTCTTTACGTTTTCAGAAATAGGTGCAGCATAAATAGCAAAAGTTGATCCTTCTTTTGCTGCGTGTATAAATGCTTTTGCACCTATCAGTACGAGTTTTACTATACTAGACTTATAATTTTTTACTTGGTTGGTAGAACTATTAATAATGCTCTGGGAAAAGTCAAGTTTACGCGAATTCCAATCTATTCGAGGGTTATATTTTTCTAGCCAGGATAAACCTAAAATAACTGGATTTGACGGGGATTTAATTATGTTAAAAGCTTTGTAGCTATCATGACAGTCTATTGTTATTTTTATAGGATGAGTTTGATGAGTGACATCTCCAGAAGACAAGGGACGACCATCTATGACTTCTACATGTACTGGTTTAGGTTTCTGTACAAAGGGTATTTTACGACTTTTAATAAATTGTTCATCTAAAAAACATGCTGAGGCTCCCGAATCTAATAAAGCAGAGGCTTTGTAATTCTTAGGTCCTAAATATAAGTCTATTATAAAACAAGGAGAGGGTTCTGAGGAGAGGATAGGACCTTCATTAGGAATTATACAAGGTTCCAGCTGCACGGTCCCTATTGTAGCTGGACGAATCCGTTTTCCGACATGTTGTCTTCTTTGACCGTCGTACCCCTCATTTTATAGTTGCGTCATTTCTTTGGACAATGTTGAGCAGTGTGCTTAGGTTCTCCGCAATATAAACATAATCCTTCTTGACGACGACGAATCTTTTCTTGCTTAGTTAGGGGTTTAAAACGTACCGCGTCAATTTGCATGTCTTGTACTTCTGAATGTATGTTTGGCAAAGATGTTGATGTTGCCATTGAGTAATAACGTTGAGGTTCCCGTGAATGATTCTCAGATCGAAATTCAAAAAGTCGATTATCACATTTTACCGCAAAATCGATTGCTTGACTCAAAGTTTGAGGATCAGGTAAGTTGAGCATCAATTTCTTTACTTCATATTGCAATCCATAAAGAAATTGACTGATGAGTGCAGCATCATCCCACTTAATGTCAATTGCAAGTTGTCAAAATTGTGAAGCATATACTGTTACTGAGCGATTTCCTTGTCGCAGAATTCGGATCTTATTTGTTGCAACACGAGTTGCATCGTATTCACCATACATAGATCGAAACTCCGCCAAAAAAGCTTCCAAATTGTCCAATAGTGGATTTCGTTGTTCAAGAAAAGACGAAAACCACGATAATGCAGAACCAGAAAGTAGAGTGCCAATAAACCTGACTTGTGATCCTGGAATTGGATAGCTTTGCAGTTGAAGTTCAATTGCCAATTATACTTGATTGATGAACCCTCGAAACTTTGATCTCGTACCATCAAATTTCTCAGGTAAGGCAATTCTTGGTTCTCTAGTGCTTATAGGGTGTTGTACAATTGGAGAAGGAATGTGATTTGTTGTAGATGTTGAAGCAGCTTCGATCATCTCTATATCTCCACTTTCTGCTATTCTTGTTCTTTCCTGTGTTGGTGAATTGAGTTGATGCATCGCAAGCATTAACTCCCTCATTTGCTCTTGCATTTGTGCCATTGCACTCTTCATTTCAACAAGCTCTGCCATAATGACACTAAGAAGAAAAATTTGTTTGATATTGCTCAAGACAAAAGAAAAGAAAGACTTGATAACAAAGAAGATACTAAGAACAATATCAGTTTAGAAGTGGATAATCCGCAAACTTCTAATACGCTTATGTCTTGTCAAGAGAAAGGGGTAATCCACTCTTACTCAAGAAAAATAAAGCTCTGATATTGTAAGTGTACTCTTGTCAATTTGTCAAGGACAAAGACTCGATGAGGGAAAATATTCACCAAAAGGCTATCTCGATATAATAAGTCAAAATATAAACAAGTAGGTATATTAAAAGGAAATTGGAATGGCTATTGCCACAAGACAAGAAACTAAAGACTCTTGAACCTGGACTAGAAGCAAGAAAGGAGTTGACAAGAGTGAAGAAGCCTTCACTCTTGTCTCTATATATACTATCTAACTAGGGGCTACGTGGCGACGTTCTATAGGACCTCCAATATGTGTTGACTTTGTAGGACACATGCCTTGACTTACAAGGCAAGTTTTTCTACGTGTGGGCTACATAGTTACCTTGATCTTCAAGCTAACAACATGTGTGGCACATGGCCAACTTGTTGACCACGTTTCTAATCCAAAAAGTCAATTAAAGACACCTATGAAGTCAAAGCAGCGTCTAGGAAGTTTCTAGGAAGCTTCCATATTAAATATTATAGAATTAACTTACTTTTATCTACTTTTACTTACTTCTACCTATTTCTATATGTAATTATTAGCTTACATGATTATGGCCGTGACACTCATGCACATTTACTAACATCATATTTGCACCAATGTGCTAGATATTTTAATTACTTTGATGTTGTTTCAAATTTAAAGTTCTATCTATCTCAAAATTTTAGCTATATTAATTAATATGACAAAAAAATAAATTATGAATATAATAGAGATACTTTCAAATAATAATATTATTTTAAAAATAAATCTTTTTATGATTTTTTTATTATAATTCTTATAATTAATATTTTAAATAATATTTTTGCATAAATAATAATATATATATTTTCATACATACTTATTTGTAATCATTTTGAATATAATAAAAAATTTAATGTACTTTAGTCCATATAAAATTAGAGCTCTAGTAAATATTATTTTTTATTCTTAAAGTATTGATATTTTATTCTCATTCTACTTTATTTTGTCTCTACAAATCAATTTCTTGTATAAAACATGAATGTGAATGGTTTTGATAAATATTTGATAGTTTTTAGAAAATTCTAAGAAAAACTTAACATCTTGTATTTGCTTAGAAATTAAGTAATTTAGAATAATTTAGAATTTCTTAACAATTGTTTTTGGACTATTGTAGGAATATGTCAAATTTTAATAATTTCTATGAATACATCATAATACATATATTCCATATTACAAGAAAAAAATATAATTAAAAATTAAAGGATTATAATTCTTCATTATTATTTAGCCTAATTTTGGAATATCTCTCTCTCTCTCTCTCTCTCTCTATATATATATATATATATATACATCTTGAAGGATTCATTATTTTTCTTTACAAAAAAGATTGACATATTTTTAAGAAACTTTGAATGTTGAATAAAATAATTTCTAAATTTTATCAATATGTTTGTTAAAGAAAACTAATTTGTATTATAATAAGTCATAAATTAGTCAAATAAATGGTTGAGTTGTTTCTATTATGCAATTGTGAAAACTAAGTATTTGCTGTTTTCTTTTCTAGCAAGACTTAAAATTTGTTATGTTATTCTAGGTTGTTACTAAAACATTTACTTGAATAAAAATAAGTGTGATATAAATATAAAAATATATTTTATTTACTTTGTAACTTACTTAAATACACATGCTACAACAGATAAAAGTTTTATAATTCTAAACCCAAGACATGTGTTTTATTTTATATTATTTTACTTATATTTTAAAAAATTAAAGCCTAGAAAATACTCAATTTATTTAAGAATTACACTTTTCTAACAAAAATAAGTACACAAGTTTAAAATTTAAAATTTAAATTATCATCATACCTTTATCACTATATATATATATATATATATATATATATTTAATTGATAATTCTGTTTGTATACACTTTCACATGATATTTTCTAAAAAAAATAAAGACTAATTATTACTTCCATGTGTATATGTTGAGTCAATTGCACCCAAAATATGTTGTCACACTCAAAAAATGCTCCATAAAAAACTTAAGCAAAATTTATAAAATCTAATAAGATAGAAATTTTACAACCCTGATAAACTAATTTTACACAAGAAAGAAGAGAATCCAAACAATGATGAACACTACTACAAGACGATGTTGCATATCCACATAGTTGCATGGTTCTAATTGTACTAAGACAGATTCATTTTCAAACACTCTTCATTCTCTTCCGACCAACTGCTCTTGGTATGAAGTGGTTGCACTGAGTTTAGGACAATGTTAGGTAGAACATTGTCGGTACAAAACAAACACAAGCCTACAATACAATTCTAGTCAGTTATTATCTTATATTACTCGGGAGATAACGACGTGACGTCGAACAGCAACACACAACTTTTTCCTGATTATCCATGTTAGAGAATCAAAGTAAACTCTCCAAAAATTATCCCACTAATTCATCGATCCCCTCGAAGCTTGTCGGTGGGCCTGGCTCTCGCATTAGTTAGCGTCCACGCATCAGCATTGCGTTACACGGATCCTTCGCCACCGCCGGCGCACCCTTTGACCTCTTGCTCAAATCGATCGCCACAACAAGGTCTCCATTGTCACGGTCACGCGCAGATTCGCTACTGCAGCGCCTCCACGCCTGGATATCGCACTGTCATTGACTTCCAAGGTAATCGCTGACGATCGTGGCCATGGTGCCTGGGCAGTCGTTCCTCGGTGATCCGTCGTTGCAATTTGCACATCCCAGGCTGATTTCTGGGCGTCATCCTCCACGGTTGACTCTGTCGGAATTCGAAGTCTTTCGTTGAGGGGCGACCCTACTGACGTTGCACTTGGGTGACTTGGTTTCGACGCCGCCAACGAAAGTTCCTTGTGTTCAACGTACTCCGTGGTGGGTACAAGAGATGCCGTAGAGCTCATGCATTCTCATCCCTCTTGTATTTTGAATCTGTGGGTGTGTGCGTCTTCGGTCATTCGGTTCACACTTCGATTCCAAACAGCGATCTCTGTCACAGAGTTTTCCAATGGCGAAAGCTGCTTGTGAGCTACATTTCGGTTTGAATTTCGGTTGCTGCAATTCCAACTGCTGCCACGTAGGATCGATATTTTTCTGACCAGTTAATGCACATTGCGAGGTTGAAAAGTTTTAGAGAATTCTTCTGAGAGGTTCTTGTCTTGTCTACAGGTCTAGATACTAGGAACCAGGAAAATGGTGAAGTTCGAACAAGGTCAAGCTGCCTTCATCACTGGAGCAGCGGGAGGAATTGGTATGTCTGCTAGCTTCATGGCAAACTGGGCTCGTCTGGAGCCTGCGGTTCTCCGAGTACGAGGGTTCTGAGAGATGTTCTACATGTTCTGTTTCGAATGTTATTTTCACAATAACATTTCACAGCACATTGTATGTGGATTCTTCAGGGGGGCTTTGGCAGTTGCTCTGGCAAGTAGAGGAGTGCAGGTAACGATTCTCGATTTGAAGGTCGCGCAGGGTGAAGAAACCGTTCGGTTGGTGGAAGAGCAGCATGAAAAGATCTTTTATAAGCCTAGATCTCCTTCGGCGATTTTCATTCGCTGTAATGTTACCAAGTCTGGTGCGCTTCCTTACATACTAAATTTGGTACAACTTTGCTTCTTCACGCTTTTCATTGTGCTGTCTTCCGTAATCGAATCATCATGTACTCCTGGTTATGCTTTGCATTCCACAGCTGGATCGGCGCGTCGCTGCCTCATTGATCAGGTAAGCCTGATGAAGAATGCAAAATGGGTGATTGTGATGTGTGTCCCAGATGAGCTGGCTGCCGCGTTCTCTCGCCACCAGGAGATGTTCGGACGCCTTGATGTTTGCATCAACAACGCCGGAATAGGGGAAGGAAAGCCTTTCTTCAATAGTGAAGACTGGCGCAGAGTGATTGACTTCAATCTCGTCGCCTTAATTGACGGCACCGCCAAAGCGGTAAATCTTCACGTCTTTCCAGAACTCTCATCGCTCTTGTGTTCACATTCAACGCTCCCGTCATCCACATCAAGAGAAACCTCATCCTGGTCGTTTTTGTTCAGATTCAAGCGATGAAAGAGAAAGGAGGTTTTATATTGATTCTGGGATATGGGGCTAGCCTTGGGCCTGTGCCGTATATGCCGGTTTATGCTGCAACGAAAGGGTAATACGCCTTGGACTTTTATCCAATCCATCTTCTAGTCCTTCTGAAATTTTGGGCGAGGTCCCAGCAAACAATTGAAATGTCACGGCGTCTCCCACTGACTCGACTTAAATATGTTGTCTGCAGCTGGTGTGGCCATATTCACGAGGTCCCTCTTTAACACAGGTATGGGCATTCGGGTGAATGCACTTTGTGCAGAGCTAGGATCACTGACCCGATGGCTTTCCTAATGCAGAGTATGATGCAGTCGCTGCAATCTCTCGTACTTCCATGTAGAATCCCTTGCACACCGAACATCTTGTTCGAGAAGTCTTTCTGAAGATGGTGGGTGGTTCGTGTGTGTTATACAGTACGTGGAAACACCGCTCACCTTATGGACTCTCCTCGCGATAACCTCGGGTTTGTAAAAATGGAGAGAGTACTTGCGGGTAAGCATGACCTCCACCAAAACAGTCCTATCTGCTGTCAATTGCTTTCAACAAAACTTCCTTCATTCACATCGAAGTGGTGCGATAGATTGAAGGCGCAAACCTGACCAGAACCTGGTGTGTGCACCAGCTGCTTTCTACCTTCTAGACGACGAGAGCATGTCAGGCGAGTGCATTCGGATCCCAGTCAACAAACCCACCCAGATCTGGCCATACGTTGAAACAAAAGCCAAGTATACGACGCTCTTTAAGGGCGGAACTGTTTTCACCGGCGCCTTTGAATGAACTGCCAACAACGGCTCTAGCTCGTATATCTGATCGCGGTAACTAGACAACGGATTGCGTGGATCTCCTTCGTGCTCCCCGAGACTGGAATATGTCGATCATGTTGCATTTTTGTTCATCGGTGCTTTTCTGGAACCCTTGTAAGGAAGGAGTAGAAGATGTCATGTCATTTGGATGAACGCACTGTGCCCTTCTCAGACTTCTCTGGGATAAGATTGAGTGGTCTTCATCCATGTACTGTAACAAGTTTCGAGTTAAATGGGAATGTTCTGAATTTTCTCATCCTTCCCAATCGTAGAACATGTGCCATATTTTGAAGTTGCATTGACATTTTCTGTTTGATCAGTCAAGATATCGCCCTTTTCTTGTTTTTAAGTTTCCATGCATTCCAAGTGGGCTATTGCTGTAAACTAATTGTGGGCATTTGGGGATTAAAATAGCCTTCAATCCCCAAATAGGCTTAATTTATATCAAAAAAGAACACTGGACAATCCATTGCAATATGCAATATGCAATATGTAATAAGTATGCAATATGATGGTTCATGATTGTTTTTTATCATATCAAACCGCTGGTAGGAAAGGGTGCAATGATGTATTCAAACTTGATAGGAAACACAAAGGGTATTATCCAAGAATCCAGATTTTTTCCAAAAAATTTAATAAGAATCCTATATCAAGAAACCAAAAAAATATTAACATTTAATATTCTTCTGCATCATGTGACGATTTATATTTTCTGCATCACAATGCATTATATCACCATACCTTCACTTCATTATCAATAATGATAAAAACGAGACCAGCATGTAAATGTGAGAGAGAGCCTCAAAGTTAACATCTAACGAAGTAGATGGTTTTGATGCGGCCATAGGGGGTGCATGTGAGCAGCGGTCACAAGATGGTCACGGTGAAAGGCAGCGCTAGGGTTTAAGCTTCGCAGCCTGTGGACGACGCATAAACCCTAAACCCTTCGGAGCGAAGTTGATTGTGTGTTTCGGAGGAAGTGGCAGCAGGCCATGGCCATGACGGAATCCTACGAGCTCGCTAGAGCATCACGCAAGCCTGGTAGACGAGGTGGAAGAGGGGAAGGCCGAGGTGGAGGGAGAGGAAGAGGTTCTCACGAGAGGGAATCGGACCATGGATATGGCGGTGATGCCAGTGAGCGTTATGGGAGGGATGAGGGTGAGCAGGTATCATACGGCGGCAGCAGGGGGCAAGTGGATCCCGAGACTCAACAATATTTCGCTGAGATCAATGAGTTAGTTGGCGAGGGAGGGGGTACGGTGGAAGATCCAGAGGAGCGGGGAATCGTGATAGGGAATGCGCTCGATGAAACGCGAGGAAAGGAGCTTCAATTAGCATGCCATTCCTATTGTGGTCGGGTGTTGGAGACCCTTTTTATGAATTGTGAAACCATGCACGCTGCGTTGTTTTTGGAGCGATGCACTGATCTTTTTGTGTCCATGGCATTGGACCCTGGAGGCTCTCATGTTGCAGAGGCTGCGTTGAAGGCTATTGCCTATGCCTTGCAAGGTAGTAATGTTCGCAACCAGGAATGGTATCCCGTCGTGGAGCGTTTTTTATCAAAAATTTCAGAGGTGGGTCGCTTTTGGCAGGTCTCACAGAGGTTGGGATTTGAGGGGGGCTAGGGTTTTAGGTTGTGGGTAACCTGCTTTAACTTTTCTTCTTTTCTTTTAATACATTTCTTCTCTATTTACGGTCTTTTTAACTGTAATCACCAGTGAAGTTAGTGAGGTCATTGGAAATGAAATTCTATAGCACTCTTTTACTTCGAGGTGGTTCTAAATTTTCTGAAATCTGCGCGTGACGCACATGAGACGGTCTGAGTTGACACAAAATAAATTGTGTGGACGCTGACTTCTATTATCTAGTCTTACAATATCACCTTGCGTTGGTCCTGCTCATATTTCTCTCGTGTTTAGACGTTGATGAAGTTATGTGAATAGCACCCATTTAATTCATAATTTATTTAGTTACAGAATTGGATATTCGTTCATAGCAATATTGTGTACTTCATGTGACAGGCTCTTGGAGAAGGTTACACTGGATCCGACCTCATGAATAATCGATATGGCTCCCACGTACTTCGACAGCTTCTTTCTTTGTGTAGTGGTATTCCTATTGAAACGTTGTGTAAATCTGGAGGTAAGAGCAACAGCCTCGCCGAACGCCTTGGAACCAAAGGATCGAAATTTAAAGGTGCTGGAGCAGCACGTCTTCGGGGTCATCGTTTCGGAGAGCATCTGCACACGCTCGTGGGAAATCTTTTGAAAAGTTGTGAAGGGAAAATGGAAGATTTGCGGGCTAGTTCAGCAGGAGGTCCAGCACTACAGGTGTAGCCTTTTTTTTATTTAAATGATTTTGATGCTGATGCAAGTTGATTGAGTAATAAGATGTAAGAGTGATGGTGATTTTTCTTCATAATTTTTCTCCATATGATGAGATCTATTTGTATTTTTCGTGCAGTTTATGCTGCGAGCCCTTCAAGGAGACGAAGCAGCTGTGAGTCATTGCATAGCATTGATGCTGGATTGTGCCGGAGAGGATGAGCCAAAGGAAGGGTCGGCCTTGGAGAAAGGTGATGTGGAAAAGATAGTGGAAATGATACAAGATTCTAGCAGCAGTCATCTCATGGAGGTTGGTTGCTTTTCCCGTATATTTCATGGGACATTTGTGACAGCCACAATTTCAAAGACTGTTGGATCGCAATGTGGGAGAATGTGATGGGTTTTCAGTAACGTGTCTGCACTGAAATGTCATGGCACTTGCATCTTATAACTATTAGGTTCATGGAAATTGATAACTTTTGTATTATGCTATTACAGGTAATGATCCAAGTTGCATCAGATGCTTTGTACTTGGAGATATTTCAACGGTTTTTTAGGCACCGTCTGCTTCAGTTATCTATCCATCCGTCAGCTAACTTTGTGGTACAAGCACTAATCGCCGCTGCAAGGCATCCGGGTCAGGTCCGCTCCCTTCCTTCTCCCGACGCCATTTGTTAAGCTGAATATTAGTTTTATGTTCTTGTTATTTCACATGTTTGCGCTTTTTGGATGCTGATCGAACTGCGCTTAATGGGGAAATTCAGAAGGCCTTGGTGATGGACCCGTGCTTTCTTGACAAACACAGTTCATGTAGTGCAGGTTACGATGATTTTAGAGGAGCTAGAGAACAGTTTTTCCGAGATTCTCGCAGAGCGCAGGGGCACCGTAGTTGGGTCTCTCTTGGCTGCTTGCTTACGATTTCGAATTAAGCAGCGTGAGGTTTGTCGAGCCCTCACTCGTGCCATCAATCCCGACTCACCTTCACCAAACCGCATTGTTCCGCGGATGCTATTTCTTGAGGGTCTAGCAGGAACCGGAAGATTTCCACAGGATTGGAAGGCACCTTTTGGCTCTCGCATGTCAGTGCTTGGGTGTGCTATGTTACAAACTGCTTTCAGCTATCCCGAGGTACATATCCTGATCATAAAAACTTTTAATCCTAACTTTTCGGCTTGTCAGCGATCTATTTCAATGGTCTGGTTAATATGTCACTAAACATTGGACTTGAATATGGTTTAATCCTTCTCCACTAGTGGATTTAAATGCATTTTGTGTTATGCAGGATTGCTGTCAGCAGTTTTGTGCAAGCATGGCAGCGCAAGAGCCTGATGATGTCTTAGAGACTGTGAGGGATTCTGGAGGTAGCCGAGTAATAGAAGCTTTTCTCTCTTCTGTTGCCGCTCCGATGAAACATAAGCATCGACTGATATCAAAGTAAGCTTGTTGGGAATTTTGGTATGCAAATTTTTGTATCTATGCACTAATTTTCGAAGAGTGAATTATGGTGCTTGTCTTGCATACATCGGGTGGGAATGGAAGGACGTCGCTTCTCCTGATAATTCTTCGACAAATTTTGCTGCAGGTTGAAGGGACATTTTTCAGAACTTGCACTTTCTCCGATCTGTTCTTACACCGTAGAGAAATGTTTTTCAACTGGTGACATCAAGATAAAGGAGATGATAGCTGCAGAACTGGCTTTATCTCAACCAGAAATCTCGAAGACTCGACATGGTCCATATTTGCTGAAACGATGCGACATTGCCCTGTGTGTGCTCTGTGCCCCGTCACCTCTTAGCAATAGGCGTAGGGTCAATATTTACTTCATATTTATTACTGTTTTTAGGAAATTCGCCAAATCACTGCCCTTCGTAGTGTCGAATGGAAATGCGTGGTTCCTAGAGTTCAATATGCTTTTGCGGAGTTTTTTAGTTCATGTTAAGATAACGATTTTGAGTTTTTCATTATCCGCGCACAAGTGTTAAGGATGTTTTTGACTGGTTCACAGATACGCCAAGGGTCCTGAGCAGTGGAGGACGCGTGAGAGTTCGAAGGCAGGGACTAGAGAAGCTTATGCCAACCTTTTTCAAGTAGAAGATGTTCCAGACACCCAAACTGATTCTACTGCTGTACCAGCCGCAAGTGAAGGAAAGAAGAAAAGAAAGTTCGTAGAGGAAACAGAACAAAAGAGTGAAGTGCCAGGTATTGTGAGGGAGCCTCCATCTATCAGTGCGCTGGAGTTAGATGGAACAATGGCACAACTAGGTTTCAATCCTAACAAGTTTCCGCACGGCCGCAAGAAAAAAGATGCTGCCGTACAACCAGAATTGACTTTGTTTGAGCCGGAGGAAGGTGCAGTTGTGAAAAAGGACGAGATCGATGCTCTTTTCAAGGAGAAAAAAGGAGATAAGACTAAAAAAGACAAGAGAGAAAAAGGTGTGAAAGAGAAGAAGGGTAAGAAACGTAACAAGCAAGAAGGGGAGGTGAAGAGTGTAGTAGAGCCTGAAGCCGTCAAAGCTGAGAGTGCATCTGTGGCCGACTCTCTGAAAGCTGTAATGGGAGCGTTGGAAGGGGGAGTAAGACAGAATAAAAAGAAGAAAAGTGATGGGTCTGGCAAGCAGAGGACCCAGAACGTGATGATTTGAAACTGATTCTTATGTTTAGTCCACCAATTTTTGATCGCCTTAGGATATATAAGTGGTGTGTAGTAGTAGTTAGGACCTGAGTTTGTAGCGTGGATACTTGAACTGGATCCAATTCTTACCAGTCATCGATTTATTTGATCTGAGTATTTAGTAGGAAATAATTGTACAATATTCAACTTGTAGAGTTTTGGATATTTGGCAATCACACATGTGCCTCTCTTAGACAACACGTTATCTGCCGCATGTGACCCATTTGTGTACGCGGATGCCCTGTCCACCTGGGACGTGATGATTGCTTGGTTTTTTCAGTTTTTTCTCAGACAGCATTTGCCCATTGCTGAGTTGTTTGCAATCTCGAGTGATACGAAGACTGTCAACCTAATTACCAGCGCTACTGAGTGGCGAGCATCAGGAATCGTGAGCGCTGAATTTGAACTTGGTCGCATGCCAGCTTACAATACACCAGGATGAATATCAGATCTTGCAAAACTTGCATCAGGAAGAACTACAAATGTACCTAGATGCAATTATTAGTCCATAATTCTGGATAGTACTTTGCAACTGAATTATTTACGTGTGAGGTCTTGAGCAATACTTTACGTTTTCTCAGAGTGAATCATATAATGAATTGGTAACTAATGTAGCAAGCATACCCACTAGAAATATTAAGCAACTCAAGAAAACATTCAATCAATGTGCAGTCAGGAAACTCGAGGTTCCGGTGGCATGATGAGTGAATCTTTACACCCTTCCCATTGTCGCCAAAAGAAGTCCACAGCTTGGAAACCACTTAAACAATACTGAGAATCTTGATTTCAAAATCAAGCACAGAATTGCCCATGCAAGGAAATCTCCTCCATATGAGCAATCAAGCAAGCACTACGTTGACACAATTATTTTCCAATGCAAAACAGAGAGCAGATAAAGCAAAGGATCAAAATAACGGATGTTATGAACTTCATACAAACTTCTTACAAACTGGATCAAAGCCATGGTAGGTCAAATGAAATAAATTATTTAAAGAAACCTAGCATCCTTGTCGGTGCTGGGGGTCCATTTGCATGCTCTCTGTTGTGACCAAACATTATGAGAAGATGACCAATATGGACTCTAGGAAGCACAGGTCAGTACAAACAAGGATGTGGATACTGACTCTCAGGACCAGCAATTTCATTATCACTCATGCTCGTCACACCTTCCTCCCACATTAGAAAATGTTGTTTTTATTTATTTATTTATTTATTTTTTATCAAGTCTTGGCTCGAAAGAAAACAAGAAACAAATAATATTCTTCACTCAGACGTTCCTTGAATATTTGAAAAAAGTAAAGGACTGCTACAGATCTTTGAGGATAATGAAATGAGATAAGATACTACTTAAGATCTTTTGGCAACCCACAAACAGAATAATGCAAAACAAAAAGTCATTCCCGACTTTCAGAACATTTTACTCGCAATTTTATAGAAACGAAAAAGTAACGTAAATCAGGATTATAATTAGTAATTAAGAAACTCATGGATGTAATGAGGACGCACACCCAGAGTATGTGCTAGAGATAAACTCCAACTTAGTGATGCTTGCAAGCATGAATAGTGAAGGAAACAGAACTGGAAATGCAAACACGGATGAGATGACAATAGAGGCAAACTTGTAAAATCATAAAAGGGGGAACCCATATAGCTTCAATCGAAGATTCTAATGTGAATTGGAAGAACGAAACGGTTACAGAAAATGTTTATATTACATACTACTCGTTACTCCGCCCTGTGAATATTAGGTGTTAAGTTGCTGATTGTATCATTTTACTTTATCAATGCATCGGGTGAACCCCATTTTAACATGCTTCTATGAAGCATATTCTGATTTTTGTGAAACAACAATTTTTTGCCCCAATTAATGCACTTGTTAGCATTAAAAGGATTCATTTTTTTGAGGGTTGGGTGTTCATCTTAATTATCTGCAAGATTTGTAAATGTGAATTATAATGAAGTCACATTCAGGTACAGCTCAAGTTCTACCGATATATCATATTACAACAGAAAAAAGATGTATCATTTTTCATTACATGCTATGAAACACTTGGTGACTTTGAGAATAGACCTTTGAAAAGATGAAAACATTGAATTAAAAGTAAACTGATACCATGTACAGCTTTCCCTCGAGGAAACAAGATTCCTCAGAGAAAATAATGAGAAAATTACGACGGAAAACTTCGAAAGGCTGCCGCATTCTAGTGAGAGGACTGTGAGATTATTAAACATATATCAACTACATATTATATTTCGTAACCTCCAATAACCCCGAATTACAAGACCTCTACATAGAAAGAGTAAACGAAAGCTTTACAAAACAATTGTGTGGCGAATCTCGTCCAATTTACTCTGCTCACACAGAAAACAAGATCAATACAAGAAAGTTGCAACATAATACAATCATAAAGTTATAAAGTTGACCTTGCAGACCAAATTCTACTCATTTCCATTTTTGCTTTGAAAGTGTTGTGCACTCAGGTTCGAAGAAACCACTCAAATAATAATACCAAGCTCAATGCAACAACTTACGAGTTGGGCCAGATGATGGAACATCATGAGGAGCTGCGGCAGGAGTATCATCCCTAGCAGAGCCAGCAGGTGAGGTATAATCCTTAGTTACTTGGCTAGCAGGGTTGACATCATGAGTTGCTGGCTGCTTTGATCCAAATCCGAGAAGCCCAGTCAATCGCCCAAGAACTGTATCTTTGTGAGCCTCCTCATGAGCCTTGTCTGTGGTGGTCTGGGCAACATTTTGAGCTGTAGCGGCAGCAGTATCCTTAGCTTGAAATGGCAAGTTGCTGAGCGCTTCAGTGATCTTTTCACTCAGTCCCTTGTCCTCTGGCTTTGGGGTGGTAACCTCGACGGCCTTGTCCTTCGCAACGGCTGCAGTCTCTGTGACTTTTTCCTTTGCAACTTGGCCGTATTGAGCTGATGCATCATATGACTTGGCGCCATAGTCCTTCGCAACTTCAGTAGCCCTTTGGGCAGCTTCAGCAGCATTGTCATTAGCAGCAACAGCATTCTCTGAAGCCACGTCCCTCGCCACAGCAGTGTTCTCTGCTACCTTACCCTTCGCAGTTTGGCCGTATGGGGCAGTGTTGTCGTAAGCTTTTCCAGCGTATTCCTTGCTGGTGTCAACAGCTGAGCCTGTAGACCCACATTCACAGCATGCATAGTAAGTTTCAAATTAGCAAATCACACAAACCGTTTTAACAGCTCCTATGAAAGTTCAGACAGCTTTTGACTTTTGAAGGCGTTGTTTACCTGTGGAATCCATGGTGGTGTCAGCAGCCACTCCCAAGTATCCCTTGGCCTTGTCCAACATGGATGGGCCTGTCGATGGCTGGTTCAATCCCTGCCGGGTATTCTCCGCAGCTGATCCTGCGTAATCGTTGGTTGCGTCAGTGGCCCTCTGGGCGTTATCCTTCGTTGTGTCAACGGCAGATCCCGTGTATCCCTTAATCGTGTCCGTCAAAGAACCGCCGGATGGCTGGTTTAAGCCTTCACGAGTGTTATCAGCAGCAGATCCGGCGTAGTCCTTAGTGGTATCAGCAGCTCCTCCCAGATACCCCTTCGCCTTGTCCAACAAAGAAGGACCCGTAGAAGGCTGGGTTAGTCCCAAAGCATTGGCAGCCTTATCCTTCACATCGTATGCTGTGTTGGCAGCCTTCTGGGTATAGGTTTCACTATCATCAGTGGCGTTGTTCACATCGGCAGCCTTGCTCTGAACAGTATCCTTAGCTTGGTAAGAGGTGTCTCTAGTAGTGTCAGCAGCTGAACCTGTCGATTGAATTCAGTAATAAAAGTTGTTAATAATTAAGTGAAATGAAATAAAACCATCCGCGATTACCTTCTGAAAATAAAATGAAAATGGGACCACAATTATTATAAAAAAAAAATACTGAAAAGACGATCATATTCGTTAGAAATGTATAAATTACCAGTATTCCCCCTCGTGGTGTCGGAGGCGGAACCTGCGTAATCCTTGGAAGTGTCAGTAGCTGCTCCGGTGTAGGATGCCACGTCGTCCTTTGCTCGTGCGGCCTGATCCCGAGTGGTGTCAGCAGCAGCTCCGAGGTAGCCCTTTGCTTGGTCAACCACAGAAGGACCCGTCGAGGACTGATTCATGCCCAAGGTATCCTTCGCCCTCTCTGTAAAGGTCGGACCTGTAGATGGCTGGTTATATCCCAATGTATCCTTTGCCTTCTCTGTGAAGGTCGGACCCGTTGAAGGCTGGTTCAATCCCAAGGTGTCTGCCACTTTGTCCTTAGCAGCATACGCCGTGTTCGTAGCCTTCTCGGTGTAGGTCTGGTTAGCATCAGTAGCATTGTTCAAGTCATGAGCCTTCTCCTGAACATGATCCTTCGCCTGGTAAGTGGCTTCGGTAGCGCTGCTGGGAACGTCAGGATAATCAGAGGTGGACTCATAAGATGGTTGGTTCATGCCCACCTTGTCCTTAGCCTTTTCATATCCTTCGCCGACCTCAGACGAAACTGTGTCCTTCGTGTCCTTCGCGGAATCGTAAGCTGAAGTGCCATAGCCTGTATCTTCACCATCGTAGCCAGACTTCGACATCCTTTCACGGGCAGAGAGTTCATCGTCATCCTTGCCACCCAGACTCCTTCCCAATGCACCTTCAGCGCCAAACTTACTATAGTAAGCACCATCGTTCACCTTGTCAGACTCTTCTGGTTTACTGTACATATCGTCAGTTGTTTGAGTAGTAGAACCGACGGGCTTTACAATTCCCTCAGGAACCTTGGTCTCCGACTCATTGACCTTGTTGTCGCCAAAACTGTAAGGGGTTCCTGCATTAATGGCCCCAGATAAGCCTGTGGCGTAAGGGGAAGGACTAGGCTCATCAACACCCATAGAGCCAGCAGGGTAGTCGCCCTCTGTATCGAAACCTCCAGGCTTCGTCTTCAGGATACCCTCGGGAATCACAGCATCTGATTCAGGAACCTTGTTGTAGCTGGAGTCATAGGGGCTCCCAGCTGAGACATCCTGAGACTTCGACCCCTTGTTGTGTGAGGTCAGGGGCGATGGCTGCGACTGCTCAGGTTGGAACGACGTCGCGGAAGAAGCTGTGTTCGTGTATGAAGACGCAGGTGCGGGATGCTCGAATGCATCGAATGCACTGGGCTTGGAATCATACGATTTCTGGTCAAATGGAGTCGCTTGACTCCCTGGGGTTGTTAATGGAGAGCTAGCATGGGGAGACTCCTGCAGAACGTGTAATAGGAATGGAAGGATGAGAAGAGAACGAAACAGAGAGAGGAGGAAGAAGGGGAAAAAGGATCTGTAAAAAAGAAAATAAAAGAAAAAGAAAAACTAACAAGCAAACAACAAACAAATTCAGGATGCTCCAGAGAAACACACGTAGATTGTGGACTTACTTCGTACTCCTCCTCATCGTAATGAGGATCAGTATCGGTGGGATCATCGTGCCTCCTGCCAACCTTGGTTTTAATCTTCGAGGTGGCCTTCTTGGTCTTGTCTTTCAGCTTCCCGAGAAGACCACCTCCGTGGCCACCCTCACCGTGACTCTCACCGGCTGCACCAAAAAAGGTTCCTTTCACTATGTGGACAAATGTACGAATTCACATACAACTGTTCGAATTTCTGCAACAAACTTGAATCTCACCGCGTGAACCGGTTACGACTTACATCTACGTGTGAATTCATCACCCAAAATGGCAAAACCTCATCTCTAAGAGCATAGACCCCAGAACCATGTATCAGGACAACCACATTTTTATTGGAAAAATTCTAGAACCCAGCATCCAGGTTGTAATTGTCATCATAAACCCGTCAAGCGACAAACCCAGTAAACAATTGATGAATGTAAAATGCCCGGCAACCTAGCAACAGATCGTTAAACCTGTCACGCAAAAAAATTCTAATTTCCATCGTCCAACCCGAGCGACAACTCTAGGCGACACCCAGGTTCACACCCATCCCCGCTTCATACAGAAATGAAAACCAAACCTGAAACATCGCTTGGGGGGTGCACGTAAGACATCTTCTCCTTCACTCCTTCACGCCTTCACTGTCACTAACCCCCACCTTGTTTCCACAAAACCAATATACAAAATATCCACAAGAGCTCCGAGTCCTTTACAAGAGGAATGAAATCGACGTAATACACAGAGCTGAGAGCAGCTGGGTTAAATTGCAAGGTCAAGGGTAAGGGTGTTTTAAGAGAGCAGCGAGTGTCAAATGCCGAAACGAAAACTCATACCTCAGCGTCGAGAACGTGGCAGCCAGGGGGAGAAGCCACACAGGATTAGTGACACCTGGCCTGTCCACCGCAGGCCAGTGCTACTGTGGGAACACATGGCCACCAGAGTGCTAAATTTGCACTCTTGAGCTGGTCACCCTCTGACATGCATGCTGGGATGGTGACTCCATCGGGAGCGCCTTGCGACATTGCACATACACATACGCACCGAAAGATCTGTCGCTTCAGTTTGGAAGTGGCAGCATCCATTCAGGCTTTTTACTCACGCTCTCTCTCTCTGTGCGGTTTTGGAAGATTGCTGAAGACTTGGTCTCCGAGGGATTCCCGGTTTTGTCCGAGCTTGGGAGTTGTGTGAGCACCCTCTTGCTGGGTGCCTTGTTGCGGTTCCTGCACCAGGAATCCCATGCTTGTGGGTGTTGGATAAGAGCAGGCGGTGCCGTTGCGGTGGTTTCTCGTCGAAGTCCTTGATCTTTGATCTCGTGATTCTGTGCTTTCTTTTTCTTTTTTTTCTTATTGTGATATGTGTGTACTGGGTTTGTTGTACACAGTTCAGTATTAGGATTTAGGGATAGATGGAGCATGAAAGTGTGACTTGTGACCCCACAAGAGTCAATGTAGTACAAATTTTGGCCCAATTAAGTCCCAAAGTTTGTACTACGAGGACAAACTAGTAGGATTGAAATGGGTTTTGAAGTCCATGTGTGTAGGGTCACTTTGAGCAATTGGTTTTAATCCTTATTTGTTTTTTTATTCATGCCAATTGGTTGTTTCTTTTCTTGGCAGCAATTTTGTGTTTGAAGTTGCTGCCTTCATAACGAAAACCTTGAAAAAATTGATGAGTTAAACATTGATATGAAAAAAGAATATTTGGGTTAATAAAAAGTTGATTATGAATAAATGCTATGTAAGGTGCAATTGGTAGAAAGTAATTTTAAAGCTCGTAATTTTGATTCAATTTGATATGTCCTCAAATAAAGAAGGTCTTGCTCCTTGAACAATATTATGAAATTAGAAAATCATAGAGCCAAGACATATTAAAGAAATTCAAATTCTTTAAATCTTTAAAAAATCATAACACATTTGGGGTCTATTATTTTTAATTGTGGTTTCTAATTATGCTGATAATATTTTTATTTTTAATACATCAAAATAATGGAATGTAATGTTTTGATAGTATAGTTCATGTGTTAATTTATCAAATTCTTTTAGATCAACACAAATAATTTAGCTAATAAGAGAATATTAATAAAAATTATGGATTTTGACTAGTTGCTGTTTTAAACGTTCTTAAAACATATGCTTTGTTTTAAAAATAACAGTATAAAATTTAAAGCTATATTAAGCCATTTTTTTTTTTTCTTTTTTTTTTTTTTCCTGTTTTTCTTCAAGATATACAAAAATGAAAAAAAAGAAAAAAAATATTATACTTACTAATAAATTAAATTAAATTACAAATATATTTTTTATAGAATCAAAATTTTGACATTTAATAATATTTTTGAAAAAAAATTAGTAGAGATTTTAAAGAATTATTTTCTGTTTACTGAAAAATATGTTATGAAATCCAAATTTCGTAAATTTAGAGACACTTATAATTTCAAAAAATAAATAAATTAATACATAAATGGGTATATATATATATATATATATATATATATATGCACAGATTCATACATATTTTCTTAAATTTTAATGTAATATTTTAAAGCAAACCACAATTAATTAATTTTTTTTTGCAAAGTCTCATATGTTGAATATTAATGTGAATTTCAGAAAACACATAGTAAAGAAATGAAATTTTATTAGAATATTATATCTTAAAGCATTCTAGATACTTCTTTGAAGTTTCCTATTATAAAATTTGTTTTTAAAAATTTAGAAATAAAATACTAGATATAAAAATATAATACCTCTTTTATAAGATTAAAAAATATTAAAAAATATAATGTTTTTAGAAACATAAGCAATATTTACTTTTTTGTCATATATTGCATGAAGTTTTGTAAAAATGTATTGTAACAAAACTCGTTCTTTAAGTTTCTTATGAAAATTTTATGAGATTTTTATTTTAATTATATATATATTTAGTTAAATTTAAATTCTAAATATTATCTTAAAAAAAAATTAAAAATATTTTAAATTATAAATTCATAATTTTTACATTGTATTATTTTAATTTACTCAAAAATATTCTTCAATAATAATATTATATTAGAGATTATTTCTGAAATTAGATAAGAACTTACACAATGTTTTTAATTTGATAAAATCTATCTTCATCTTAATTAGATAAATTTTAACTTACAAATTACAATGTACAAACTATTTTCTTGCATTAATTATATTTAATCGATAATAAATAATAATTAGAAAATATTCCAATATAATACTTTATTACTTAAATCATTATATATTTAAAATTTTATCTACAGAAGAAGCATGTGCAAAAAAAATAAAATAAAAAAATAAACACCTTATTTATTTTAAAGATCTACCATGATATTTTTTGCAATGTTAATATCTTATCATTTTTTAAAAATGCCTCATTTTATGTATTTTTGTATTAATTGCATAAAAATAAAATATTTCAAATTTGTGTATTAATTTTTTATTTATTACACAACTATAAAAGAAATATAATTCTAAAACACATACCATTGTTATATTGTAATACAACTATTAGGTAAAAAAAAGAAGAAGGATTATATTATAAAAGAGCTTAATTGAAAATATTATTGCAAATTATCTCAGGAATATAGATAATAGTTAAGGAAGTAATAAAAGTAGTAAGTGCAAATGTTGCGTCTTTGCAAAATGGGCTTCTATTTATTTTATAAAGCCATAAATGAAGAAAAAATAAAAATAAATAAAAATAATAATTAATACAAAAATATTTAGAAAGAAATTTAGAATAATTTTTAGCAAGGTTTACCTTAAGAAACCAAGAATTAATATTCAAAGAAGATTAAGTGTGATTTAGGGTTGAAATAAGAACCTAAAGCATAAAGTCGTGCACTATGGCAATTTTGAGGTTTTTTTATTGATCAAAAAATAAGATTTGAGAGAAAACTAAAAAGAGATTCTTTAGGTGTTAGTTTTGAGTGATTTGAGTTATTAATGACTTTATAAAGACTATACAAAGTTAGGGTTGTTTTGAGGTGACTTTGGATTTTTGAAAAATATAAAAAGCTTACACTTTGGAGAATTTTGTAAAATTGGTAGATGATCTATAAGTGAATTCTTTTGATTGAATAATTATTGTTGTATTGAATGTATGTTGTAAGTTTGAACTTGATCCAATAATTCATTTTGAAGGTAATTGAAATTCAAAAATATTAGGATCTCAAAAATTGGAGTTTAGAGGAATAGTGAAGATTTTTAAGATTTGGAGCAAGTAGCCAATTGAATTGAAATAAAATTTTGTACAATATTATTAGATTTACTTTTTAATAAATATAAAAAGTTTAAAAGCCATTAGATCTTAATATAAAGATAAATTGATATTGGAAGATTAATATTAAGGTTGAAAAAGAAGTCTTACTGCTACTTGAGCACATTATAGGATTTATCTTTTATTTGGTAAGATTGATCTTCTTTAAATTATTTTTACTTATTTTTAATTTAATAATTGAGTGTCTAGGACACAAACTGGAAGAAGATACATAAACTCATGGAATCTGTGTCAAAAGGAAAGTGAAAAAATAGAAGAAAGTATGTATATTCAAGGAAGAAATAGAATGGCTATTGCCAAAGACTAAAAAACATAAGACTCTTGAAACTAAACTAAAAGCAAGAAAAGAATTGATTAGAATGACGAAGGCCTCACTCTTACCTCTATATATACTAGTTAACTAAAAACTATGTGATGACATGCTATAAGACTTCTAATACGTGTCCAACTTGTGAGACACATGTCTAATTTGGAAAATAAGTTTCCTAGGTGTGCACCATATGTCCAACTTGTACTACAAGTAGTCAATATGTCGACACATGGCCTTGTTGTTGGCCAAATTTTCAACTTATCAATCACCTATAAACATGTATAAAGGCAAAGCAGTGTCTATAAAGCTTCTAGGAAGCTTTCCACAAGATATTATCATATTTATCTGCTTTGACTTACTTCTACCTATTCTTATTATCTAAATAATTATCAAGATAAATATGTATATTTGAAACATTACTCTCCCTTCTAGAGACAAGTTTCACAAGGAGTGGTGATTACATATTGATGAAGTCCAAGATGCGCCAAATTGTATTTGCTACATACTTTGATCTTTGTTTGCTTTGAAGGTAGTTGATAGGTCCCTTCAACCATCGATAATGTCCCATACGAGGGCGAAAAGACCACCCTGATATTTGATTATTATTGAGGCCTTCATAACTTCCTTCAAAAAAAATATTAGTAATACCATTAAAAGTGGTTTTTACCTCCAAAAGTATCACTAAACATCGGGAGTCCCTTTTAAGGTTGTGGTACCAAATGCATTGTATCTTGCCATCTATTCAAGGAAGAATATGTTGTTTTTGAGGGTCTTCATATCGATTCGGCTATCTCAAAAGTTTTGATAGTTACAATATCATATCTAGTAGCTTATCAAATGATAACTCTTGAATTGAATTTGTTGGTTGTTGGTCTATATCTCCTAAGTACTAAAAAATCCAAAGAAACATTGATACAAGATAGAATGAAATCTCTATTAGGCTTGCTTTTCTTTATAGTAAAGAATTTCTTGACTCTTCATCTTGATTTTGATGGATGTCATTGATGAAACACTTTAACTCTGGTTGATGCATTTCCTAGATTCTTAAATGGTTTCTATGTGCATTCATTAATGTCATATCCACACCAATGTACTAGATATTCTAACCTATTTTGGTGCCACCTTAAATCTAAGACTTCTTCCACGTCAAATTCTTCATTATTATCTATTTTTATAGAAGGTAGTGGCATT